AATTAAAAAACGCACCGGCCACGTTTCAACGGTTAATAAACTCGGTGCTCGCAGGCATTCAGATGTCTTGTTTATTTGGACGATATAGTCATATATGGTCCTAGTTTACAGGAACATAATCGCCGACTCATAGAAGTACTTAATAGACTGCGCGAAAATAATTTGAATTTAATTACAACCAATCAAATGCGAATTCTTACGCAAGGAAGTTACCTATCTAGGGCATATAATCACGGAAGGGGAAATAAAGCCTGACCACGAAAAGCTTAGGGCCGTAAAAAAATTTCCGGTTCCTAAAAAAGTCAAGGATATCCAGTCCTTCCTAGGTCTAGCCGGATATTACCGCAAATTTATAGAAAATTTTTTGAGGATTGCAAAACCGCTTACAAAGCTAACTTAAAAGAATACATTTTTTATCTGGACCGAAGAGCAGTAACGCGCATTTGAGACGTTAAAAAAAAAGTTAATTACGGCACTGGTCTTGAATTACCCGGATTTCTCGCAGCAGTTCACGGTCACTACCGACGCCTCAAATTACTCTATCGGAGCCGTGTTATCACAGGGAACCTTGGGGCAAGACCGGCCGATTGCATACGCTAGCAGAATTCTGAACAAGACCGAACAAAATTATAACACGACCGAGAAAGAATTGCTGGCGATAGTATGGGCCGTAAAATATTTTCGTCCATATGTATACGGTACTAAATTCAAGATAGTGACTGATCACAAACCATTAATTTGGCTATTTAGCGTAAACGATCCTGGATCGCGGCTAATAAGATGGAGACTCAGGTTGGAAGGGTATGACTATGAGATAATCCATCGAGCAGGTAAAGGAAACACGAACGCCGATGCGCTCAGCCGAAACCCGATACCGGTCGCCGACGCTATAATTAGTCATGTGGACGATGCAATTGAAAAGTGCGAATATAACGAAGAAGATAAGAAGCAAATTCTGTACGAGTATCATGACGCTCCACTGGGGGGGGGGGGGCAGGGGGTTACGTTGAACCGCATCAGGTTAACCCACGATTGGCCTGGTATAATCAAGAACGTGGAAGAATATATTACGGAACTTTGTGAACTCTGTCAAAAGAACAAACTTAGCAAAAAAACTAAGATCCCATTAATTATTACGGACACGGCATCTAAGCCTTTCGAGAAATGTGCATTAGATATAGTGGGTCCACTTAGTATAACAGAAATAAATATATGCTCACGTTTCAAGATAATTTAATAAAATTTAGTAAAGCCATCCCGATTCCAAACCAGGAGGCAGCTACGGTAGCCAAAGAATTCGCCACCAAAATAATCTGTTTGGCATACTAGAAACTGTTCTAACGGATCAAGGAACAAATTTTCTGAGCGAGATATTTAAGAACGTTTGCAAATTATTAAAAATTAAAAAGACCCAGACCACGGCATACCATCCCGAAAGTAATGGCGCATTGGAGAGATCACATAGAACTCTCGCGGAATACCTTCGTCATTACATAAATGAGGATCAAACCAATTGAGATGAGTGGATTCCGTATACGATGTTTACTTATAACACAACACCGCATACCTCGTATACGCCATTCGAGCTGATATACGGGCATCAAACGACGCTGCCTACAGCCCTGACGCTACCTCCGAAGCCGCGTTATTCATATGAAGATTACGCACACGAGCTCAGAGAACGATTACGGGCAACGCATCAAGTCGCGAAACAATGTATCAGCAAGGCTAAGACGAAAGCTAAGGACTATGCCGACCAGACAGTTAAAATCCGCACGTTTAAAGTAGGCGACCTCGTACTGTTACGCGACGAGACGTTAAGACGTGGACACTCCAAAAAATTAGAGGCATACTGGGTGGGCTCGTATCGCGTCGTAGAGAAAGTCTCCGATGTAAATTATAAGATACAAATAAAGCGCAAGCTAACTCTTTTACACGCGAACCGATTAAAATTATTCATAGAAAATTAATTAAATCGGAGAATATAATGTAACGCGCGAGGCAATATTTGTATCAAGTTAATATCGTACTATTGGTAACGTAATATAGATGCATTAAAATAAATAAATAGAATTGCGTCATATATTAAGAGGTTTAGGGAACAGGAAAGATAGATCGCACACATTAAATAACACTATGTATTTATAAATTTATATAATGTTAAAAAAAAAACCCCAAAAATACATAGTAGAAAAAATGTGATAGATAATACAAATATAGTAGATACTATGCGAATTGCGCGCACACATAGACAGATAGACAAAAAAATAATAATAAATAAAATACATATAATGTTATAGAATATGAATTTTATTTATTTTTTTGTCTATCTGTCTATGTGTGCGCGCAATTCACATATTATCTACTATATTTGTATTATCTATTATATTTTTTCTACTATGTATTTTTGGGAGTTTTTGTTAGAAAATCGTGGCTGTGTGGTTTTCTCCTAGCGATCTGCAACAAAATAAGAGAAAGAAAGAACATTAAGCAAAGATACTAAAAACGAAATATTTAAGGTATCTAGTAAAATAGGCACTCACTGTAGTCGTCAAATCCCTCGAGAAAATATTCTAAAAGCAAACGGTTATAGGCCATATCGGCCTCGGAGACGGTTTCCGTTGGGCTCGCGGCCTCGGTCTCCTCCGAACAAGTTGTTTCCGGGATGCAATCCCCTCTGTCGTCCTCCGGAGATTCCAGCAGAAGATTTCCTCCAGCAGGTCGGAAGGAAACTGCGTAATGGGGCGCACACACTCGTCATCCGGCCCGCACCAGTAATAGGGACTCCCGGATCTGGACGGGTCATCCACAAGGTCTACTTCGGGCTCAGCATGCTCAAAATCCCAGGCCTCACTTCTTTCGGACTCGTCTGAGGATTCGGCCCCGGCCGGTATTACTTGCGCCCCACGAAAGAACTCCCGAAAAAAGTCGCGAGCCGCCAAGTTCTCGATTGGCAGCTCATTCGCGAACAGAACCGTAAGGTCCTCGGCAGGCAGCTCGTCCACAAACAAGGCCGCCAAATCCACGGCAGTCGAATGCATTTTGACAAAAATAAAGACACGCTTCCGCTCCGTGGTATAGCCGCGAGCGAATTAAGTTTGCAGGTGAAACGGTACCGCGACAGGCGCGATTAAAATGTGCAACCTAAGCACGACACCGCATCGTACCTAGCGAGGATGAGCGCGATAAATTTTTACGCGTTAAATTATACACCCACACGCGCGCGCCCGTCGGCTATCCAAATCGGACTCCTCAAGTCCATGAGATAAGCGCTTTGGGATTCTCAGCAAATTAAATGAGAAAAAAAAATTGATAAAGTTTGATTAAAAATAAATTTTAAAAGGAAAAACGTCTATTACAGAGTGACCTTAGGGGCATGCTTCGTAATAGGACAATCTATAGACACGCCATACTTATTGGAACAATTCGTTTCTAGTCCGGGAATCTATTTCGAAAAGACGGGGAGGATGCACCCTGTCAAAGGCCATTGGAAGTTGGTAATAAAAATGGACACCCTGCCGATAGCCGATAGAATAAAACAGCTACAAAAAGAAATCAATAAAATCGGCACGGCGTGTGAATCCCTGCTAGGTGAGTTAGCAACA